GGACCACTCGTACCACTCGAACCAATCGAACCCATCGGACCACTCGGACCATTCGAACCCATCGGACCACATGAACCATTCGAACCATTCGAACCCATCGGACCACTCGGACCATTCGAACCATTTGGGTCACTTGGAGCACTTGCTTCCGACGTACTCGACAGCCGTCCCGACGCAACCCTCCTCAAACGGACTCGGTTGATTCGGCTCGAGCTTGGCTGCGTCAATTGCCCGTCCGGCCTGCTTTTGCCCATTCGGCCCGTCTTCTTGCCTCTCGTCATCTCATCGCGCCTCGATCGTGTTGTCGTTACCTTCTCGTTTTCGTCGGCAGAGGAGCATGTCTGTCTCTTTTATCTCTTTCCGCATTACTCAATTGTCCAATTAATATTAAAATGTCCCTTTTTCCATATCGATTTCTTCGTCTATCCATCTCTCTTCTCTCGTCTGGCCGTCTTTCCTGACATACACACACCACTTTGCCCATCGCCACTCTTTCTGTTCGCATGTTCGTCCGTCAGCCTTCAGCCTTCAGCCTTCAGCCTTCAGCCTGACTACTGCCCAGCTGATCGGCTCTTACGCCACGTACAGGTGATCGGATGCTCTTTTTGTTGCCGTGCTCATTGCTCCACCTCTCAAAGCATTCTGGCCTGTCTCCTTCTCGTCTTGACACCACTCCTGCGGCGACGATAGATTCCGCTTTTGTCTCCTCCCATTTCTCTCTCTCTCTCTCTCTCTCTCTCTTTCTCTCTTCCCTTTGAGGCTCAATCAAGTCACTCTCTCTGCTTTGGCATTCACCCTAGCGTTGCATCTATTTACCTGCGTATGTGTTTGTGTTCGTATGTGCAAATTGGTATCTGCTGCAAATCGATTTGCTGTATCGCTTATTCGGCTTTGCTCCCGTTCAACTTTGATAGGCGTCGTGATGGTGTCGTGTTCAACCGCGGCCATTTCAAAGAGGTGTGAGTTGCTTCAGGCACCACGCGTCCTCGTTTGTGTGTAGCTCAAAATCATGTGGTCTCATCTCCCTTTCCCGAGGCGTCGGCAACCGGCCTCTACATCGTTGGGTTGCGTTCTTCCTCTTCACTTCTTCGTCGTATCTTTGGCCCGTGGTTGTCATACCACGACTCCAACTACTTTCGAGAAGAAGAAGAAGAAGAAG